ACTATTTATAGCTAATCGGAAAAACCTCTGCGCCGTACACGTGTAATCAACGAGCGGCTAGGATCTTCTCGAGATCCGCAACGACGGAATACTCGAGTGCTCCGACAACCTGGCAGATCGAAACGTCTTCCGCAACGATCATATTCCCTCTACAAATGAAAAGTCGCCACGCGTCCGGAATGGATTCGGATAAACTTCTCTGCCAGGTCGGGATCGAACTTGACAGAGAGGGGGCCAATGTTTGGGGGTAATACATACCCGGGACACATGGATGACCCTTATTGGTGTTTGAAGAAACTGAATGAGAGGGATTGCCAAGGTCCACCTCGGCCCTGCCGAGGAGACCGGGTTCGCCCATTATGAAAGACTAAGTATGGGCGTCAAGGTTCGACCTGGCTGGGGTCCGACCTGCTCGGAACCTGACAGGTCCGATATGAGAAAAGACATATAACCGCCGGTCGTGTGTACTGTCGGATCCATCACCTATAAATAGAGGGCTTCATTTCACGCTCAGGTATCGAATCTCACCTCGAACTAAATATGGAGTCCACTCTATACTGACTTGAACGTCGGAGCGCTTACTCTCTTGTGCAGGTCCACCCTAGTGCTCAGGTCGGAACCGGAGACCGGGTTCGAGCTTGATTCGTGAAGAACCGTTGTGCAAACCCTTGCATAAACAGACATAAAATTAAAAGGTAAGTTTCAATTTGCACCAAAATTCCATCAACTTTTAAAAGTTTTTACTAGAATTCCAATTTTGTGTTTAATAGGTACTTGAGTTCTAAAAAATGTCGATGTAATGACTCCAATGTTCTATATATATTTAATAGTCTTAATTAAATTGAGATCATTACTCTTATAACATAATTTTATTAAATAAAATAAGATAAAAGTTTGCTCTTTCATTTAAAAGGAAACGATAACTTAATAAAACTTAACTTATAAATTTCTAGCAGCGAAAATCATAAAATCATTTGGAAATAAAACAAAGTAAAAATGTGATCAGTCGAAATTAAAAGTGTCAATTAACAATAATTCAAGCATGTCTCATCACTCCTCATCAATGTCAAGGTCATCCTCGATGTTGTTGTCGTCATCTACCTAAGTAAAAAAATTGAAACCATATAAAATGATTATATAAAAATACTCAATAAGTAGTTCCCATCATAGCATCATAATTAAGGAACCTTCATGCTCAAACACACGCATCATGCTTTCATGCATGCATACCTCAACCTAACATATAAACCATGGAACGACCTAAGTTGACATACTTGGTGTGCTTGCTAACATAAACTTAATTACATATCCAAATCCTTAATTTGGCACTATGCTAAGTAGAAATATCTCATACCATAATCGTCAATTCCACAAGTAATATTTATAGGGTAATTATCCACATAAATAACATTTACATGAACTAATTTGTTTTCTATGACCCAGTCTTTAATTGAAACCATATATGTCATATCATACATTTAGCTGCATAACATAACTAATTAATTTGGATATTTCAACATTAATCTTACTAAAATCTATGACACATAAAACTACTAACTTAACTACATAAATGTAATGCGTCAAACATATGTCATGCTTTACATAGACCTGCTTTGTTATTGAACATACTTATGATTTGTAATACATCAAATTTAACCACAACAACCATTCGATAATAAAATATATTTAAGAAACAGAAATAACATAATTTAATAAAAAAAACAAGATAACACATAACATAATTCACTTACAAATCAATAATACAACAAAATATACAAGGCGGTAACTTATGATAGAATCCACTTACCTGAATGTCGTAAATTAACGATAAATCCCAAATAACAATTAACCTAACTAAAATTATGACTCAATTGCCTAAATTCACCTTTATAAGAAAGTCTCATCAACCAGCTAGGTTCACTATAGTTTAAATTCCATATTAATAAACTAATATTTAAACTTGTAAAACTAATTATTAATCTCATATTAACCTCTAATTTTTGGATAAACAATATCTATCAAATGATTTACTTAATTTCAAAATTTATCAAAAATGGAGAAATTACATAACACTAGTTTTTATCCATTTTAAGCTCTATGTAAAATTAATCAATAAATTAAATATAATTTAGGCTACTTTAAAGCTGCTGGTCGTGGTCACAAAAAATTAGAATTAACAAATTTGATTTTTCATACTAAACAACGTAAACCTATGAAAATAACATAAAAACGGTTAAAAACGGTTATGAAGCAATTTTATGAATATTTTGGGAATATTTTTAATTCTGATTTTTCAAACCTAAAATTAACAAAATTAAAGCCTACTGAGTACCTAAATCAGTACCTATAATTAACCTAAAAACAATTTACATTAGAAGAATGATGCTTACCATTAGTGTGTTTTTCTCTCTACCGTAAAGAGTAAAGTGAGAAAATTTCAAGCAACTAAGAGAACTTGAAATGATGATAGAAACCTTAGAAAAATTGATATGGACACACTTAGGTTCTATAAAAATTATTAGGAAAAACTCACTGCCAAAACTAGACTAAAAGAAATTGTTTCCTACCAAAAAGACAAAACCGATGAACGACCTTGAAGAAACTTGGAAAAATAACTATTTCTCTCAATAAGTTGTGAAAGGTGAGTTAAGTAAACTTTCGCTATTCCTCCAATTAACTTAGTTTGACTAAAGTAAATTATAATAATAATAATAATAATAATAAAATAAAAAGGAGGTAATTTGGTGTTTTACTAATAATCATAATAAAACACTAAAATTTGGTGTAAGTTTCTTTTAATAAGTAAATAAAATTAACTTGAGCTTAATTAGGTAGAGTATAAGAAAACTACAATTATTAACCAAGATTGATTAAAGTTTATAATTGTAGGCAGCGAACATTATAATAATATAAATGAGCCTGCAACCATAAAACTTGATGTTGTTGCGGTGATCTGCCTAATACACTCCGACACTCAAGTTAGTAATCAGAGTAAGAAATAGGAAAAAACACGTTTTGGGTTTAAGTGACAGATTCTTCGCTTATTTGGCAAAGGTGAGGGTCATTCCTTTTTATAGGCGCGAATGACCGACCAGGAAGGACTGGCTGAGAAAATAGGGGTGCACCGTGTTGTACGGTGCCTGATGGGGGAGTGTACGTCCCCGACAATCAGCAGGTGGTGCATTCGCCTACAGACCTGAGACCTATTGCTTGCGAGTGCTAGGTTGCAGTGCTCGACATGCTTCTCGTACAGCAGTGGTGGAGGCGCATTCCTTGGCCCCTGCAATGTATGGTGCATAACCATTTGTGGTCTCGTGCCTCGTTGTCGCCTTAACAGCTCGACGCGTGGCCCAGTCGATTTCACCGTCAACAAGTAACATAAACTTAGCTTACTATATTCAAACAAAAGATTTAATTTGGTACATCTTAAAAGTTTTAATTCTTTTTTACAACTACTTTAACTTAATAAAAAAAAGTTGAAAGTTTCTTAAAAAAAAAAAATTGAAAGACAAAACTGTTAATTTACCAAAACTTCTACCAACACTCTAAGAGTTCTCCAACCGCTGGATAAACATGGTGCCTTGTCAGAAAACACCTTCGTTGCTTTTGCGCATGCAGGTATTCTCTAAAGTCGACTCGTAGCTAATGAAGATCGACCAAACTGTGATATGTCGTTCAGCTCGACTTCGACTGTCGAGCTGTCCAGACTTAACTAATTATGAGCAGTTAGTTTGACTCTCCTCATTATAATGAAAGATGATAGTTTTCGAGGTTGACATGTGACAGTTAATAATTTGTCTCAAGCACATCTTAAAAGTTCTATTTTTTTTTTTTTTGGTTTAAACTACTTCTACTTCTACTTAATAATTAAAAAAAAAAATTGAAAGATTGACCACCTCTACTTAGTGGGACATAAATGGAAAGTTATTCCAAAAAGGCCAGAAACAGTGGAGGAGGAGCGTCCAAAGCCAAATCTCAAAGCGTTACACTTCTTAAGCGCCTTGAATTGCGCGCATGAATTCACAGTCCCAACAGTCAAAATCAAGAACCAGTTGGGTCCCTCCCAATTCAACTCTCGAAAAAAGTTGAATAGCTTTATGGATTCCCCGATAATCATGGCGTCCGTGTCCCTCACTCTCAAGAATTTGAATATTTTTTATAGCCATTACTCGCCTCTCCACCACCACCACAGAAATCTCCATCTCCAGACCCGGCTGCAGCGTCGACTATGGCGGAGGACCACGGCGGCGAGGAGTTTCTATTCAAGATCGTGCTAATCGGCGACTCCGCGGTGGGGAAGTCGAATCTCCTCTCGCGATTCGCTCGGAATGAGTTCGATAGCAACTCCAAGGCCACGATCGGCGTCGAGTTCCAGACGCAGGTGGTGGAAATCGACGGCAAAGAGGTCAAGGCTCAGATCTGGGACACCGCCGGCCAGGAGCGGTTTCGGGCCGTCACTTCCGCCTACTACCGCGGCGCCGCCGCCGCGCTTGTCGTCTACGATATCACCCGCCGGAGTACCTTCGACAGCGTCAAGCGCTGGCTCGATGAGCTCGGCGGTACGTTCTCTCCCAATCTCTAGGGTTACTTCTGTTCTGTTCGCAATTTGTGGAAGTGAATCGAATTTCTTTCTTCGTTTGATTTGAATCTGCTGCTGGTTTGGTTCATTGATTCGTTGATTTGCGCAGAACAGTAACAAAGGGAGGATGGAAAATTCGATGTTATTTGTTATTCTGCTATTTTCTGTGAAGAGAGCTGGATTAGATTGCTGAGAATTCTATGTTTTTACTTGTTGAAGTTAGTTCAGTGAGTAATTTGTCATGAGCTAAGAAAATTGAATGTTAGTAAGGTTTGCCAAATTTGAATTTCAAAGAAACTGGGTCTGCCCTATAATTGCCGAAAAACAGGTATAAAAAGAAAAGAAGGGGAGATAAAAAAAAAGACCTTATTTCCTAACTCATAGCTACTCCAAAGTTTAGGACACCTGCCTTGCCATACTGACATTTGGCACGCTATATTCGACTACTAGGTCAACCCATGATAGTGGAGTCCAAGCTTTAGAAATAGTCAACCCATGATAGTGGAGTATTTGGACTAGCTTGTACCCACCTCAACTAATATCATTAGATAACCGCCTGATCTTACTATATTTGGTTTCTTGGTTAGGTAGTAATCATGGTTTTAACCCATTTTCTCCTAGTTGTTCTTATTGACCGCACGCTCCCCCTCGAGCTATCCCTTCCTTTCTATGCTATATAGGAAAAGGATGACTTGTTTGTACCAGTAGAAATGTTGTCAACTCAATCTAACATTTACATGAAGCTAACTCTGCCCGAACCCATTGCAGTTCATTGCGATACGGCGACGGTGAGGATGTTGGTAGGAAACAAGTGCGATCTGGAGAACATAAGGGAAGTGAGCGTGGAGGAAGGGAAGAATGTAGCAGAAGAGGAAGGTCTGTTCTTCATGGAGACCTCTGCTCTGGATTCCACCAACGTAAGAACAGCCTTTGAGGTGGTTATTAAGGAGATTTACAACAATTTGAGCAGAAAAATTCTCAACTCTGATTCTTACAAGGCTGAGCTCTCTGAAAATCGAGTGAGTTTGGCTGATGGAACTGTCTCCAAAAACAGCTTCTCTTGTTGTTCTAGATAAGTTTTATTGTTCTCTCTCTCTCTCTCTTCTTTTTGTTCTGTTTTCTATAGAGAGAACCATTCTTTTGGGGTTCTGATCATTAATCAATAGAGCCCTCATGTTGGGTTCTACAAAATATGAATGCTGTTCCAAGTTTTTTGGAGCTTTATAGGATATATTTGAAATTGAAATGTTACCGTTAACCCAAATTGTATGGAAATTTTCATTTTTTCTGTACTTTCTGAGGGAAGAATAGGTTCACCGCCGATAACTTTTTTTTTTTTTTTCTTCATGTGTTAAAATACTATTTTAGTCTATTTTAATTTTGATTCATTTAGTTTGAAAACGTCTCTTGTAGTCTCTATATTTAAAAAAATGATTATTTTTTTACTTCTTACTGTTAATCCACCGTTAGTGAATTAATGAAGATAAATAAGCTTAAGTGGTCCTCCACCTGCCAAATAAGTTTGTTATATCAATTAAAATCTTCATCTTTCTTGCCTCGTCGTATATCTCATTGCTCACAAACGCAAAATCCCTCAAATTGCTGTAATTGTGGCCTATCTCTGCAACTGCAAGAAAATCTTAGCATAAAGGGGAGGGGAGAGAAGGGGAAGAAGAAAGATTTTTATTTTATTGAAGTAAGCAGCATTCGCATATGATTATTTTTATAATTTTTTTTTCGAAATATGGGATTCATTATAAATAATTTTTGAGAATTTGATTATTAGGTAACAAAAAGAATAAAAAAGAAAGAAAAGGGTGGAAAAAAGTGGAAAACTTTTTAGGTCAATTTTGTCAATTTCCCAATACCCCTTTTTCACTGATATAGCTTCCGATGGATCACGCCGGAGAGGTGGCTTTTGAGATGCGGGCGAGGAGGAGGGCCGGTAATGGGCTGCCAGAAGATGGGAAATTAGGATTTCTAACCCATCTTTTTCAATTTGGATTTTTGACCCATTCTCTAAAATTTTATTCATGGTTCCTCCCTCCCTTAGTTTTTGAGTTTTTGGGTTAAATAGCAAAGAAATATTAATTTTTACAACCCTTTTTCAAAACTTTTTCTAATCTTTTATTGACATCAATACTCTCTCCCACTAATATTTTAGATTTACCTACTTTATTTCTTTTCTCAATCTCCCTTTCTCTCTTTTTCCATAATTTTTTCTTTCTCTCTATTTTACATTAATTCATTCTTTCTTTATTCTGTCTTCTTTATTTTCTTCCATTTTTTCATTCTTCTCTCTTCTGCAACTACTCGTTCTCTCTCTTGGGATTTCTCTTTTCCTTCTTCTCTCTTTCTCTCATTTCTCTAATTAATATTCTTCTCTTTCTTCTTTACTCACCACAAAAAACAATTTACTCACAAAAAACCCTAAATCTCTCATCTCTATCCTCCATCACCCACCACCCCTTCTCCCTTCCTTTTTCCTTTTTATTTCTTTTGAAACAAGCAACTCCACGCCTTTTTTTTTTACTAGTAGCCTCCATAGTTCCGGTGACCTTTAGCATCGTCGGCAACGAGTGCATCAAAACCAACAAGGAAGGTCATTCGTCGAAGAAGAAGACTTAAGGGAGGAGGAAGTTTGGCCTACGATGGGGATCGAGATACTCTCGATCGAATATGGCAAAAGAGAAAGAGAGCAAGAGAGAGCGAGAAAAATATTTAATTGACAATCCATTAATTAATTTATTTGGTTAAATAATTTAATTTCTGATTTCCTAAATCATTATAATTAATTTTGAAAGATCAATTAAAATCATTAAACAAATTTATAAAGTCAATAACTTTAAATGTTTTAAAATAAAATTTTGTTTATCTAAATAATAATAATAGTAGTAATAATAATAATATTTGGTTAATTTAAATGAAATCATAAATAATATTAAATCAATCAGAATTGAACAAATAAATAAATTTCAAAATAGTTCGGTTAAATTCAAGATCAAAATGATTAATAAATAATCATTAAAGATTTTTTTAATTAAAAATTTGAAAATTAGAATCGAAAGAAACATAATCTCAATCTCTCGTCAATCTCCTTAATTTTAGTCAGAGTTGGAGTTTACCCACACTTTATTCTTCTTCCTTATATTTTATTACTTCATAATGAGTTTGTTGCCCATTTCTTTTGTTCCTTCTCGTATGGCATTGCGTAGCTAAACCCATTGTAGGAGGGGATGTTGTGAATTTGCTTGAGTTGTGAACTTTATTTCAGTTTATAATGATGTTGCTACTGAGTTGAAGTTTGTTCATATTATTTTTAAATTTCAATGTGCTTGATCACCATATTGAATGATCTCTTTATTAACTCTTGGGAAATTGTAATAGAGAGTGCGTGACTTTAACTTGTGCTAGATCTACATTCGAGCTTAGAGTGTGAGTACTTAGAATGAGACTCACCTTGCATGACTAGAAACTGAACTAAAATGTTGTTGTTCTAAACTAAATATGAATAACATGAAATCTGGGCATTCTAGAAAGGTGTTGTGTCTGTTTGGCCAGTGTTGTTAAAATCATTATTGCTTGAGCATCGTTTACCTGTATTCAAAGTAATTCATATAAACTCTTCCCTTTGCTCTTCACACTAAGTTCAACTCTACATTTTTTTGTGCGATTTGTGTTTTGAACTGATTCCCGGTGTATTTCTCATTGTTTTAGGACACCTTCTAAGCCAATTTTTTATTTTTTATTTTATTTTTTTTACAAAACAATTGTTAGTTTCACCACAATTAATTATTATTTTGCTTTGCTTTTTCTTGAATAATCATTGAAGTATTGAAGTATTTAGTTATCAATCCTTGTGGGTTCGATCTTTTATCACTTGCTACACGAGGATTTTACATCATTAACACTGTTAGAAGACATATCAGTGCGACACCGTTTCATTAATTTAGTTATTTATTAGTTTTGTATCCTTAATGTTTAGTGGGTACAATTTTTCAGTTTTTGCTTCCTTATTCTCTGAATTGAGGCTTCGTGGTATTTTTTCGGTAAACCACGTTGTGCTCTTCTCTGTATTATATACTTGTGGTTTTTTTGGCTAATTGAATTGAGGAAGATTTTTCTGAAAATCAATCTTGGTATCAGAGCTCTCAAGCATACGCTACAATGGCTGAAGAAACTGAAGACTCGTCCTCTGTTCCACAAGTAACAACAAATGTTTTTGTTCCTGTTCTTGGCACTTCCCCTAGTTTGAATTCTTCTTTTGGTCATCCTTTAGGTTTTGACAGTTAAATTAGATGACAAAATCTACTCACTCTGGAGGGGAATGGTTCTTGCTGTTTTGAGAGGTCAAAAGGTGGATGATTATGTTTTGGGAACCATACCAAAGCCTTCTCAATTTCTTGTTACTGAAAGTGAAGGTACCTTAATTGTTGGCAATGGTAACAGGTTGGATCTCACATGTTGGACATACTTGTTTGCAAACAAAATGTAACACTTTTAACAAGCTCCACCTTAAAAATATTCTTCATGTTCCAAAGATTAAAAAGAATCTTTTGAATGTTGCTAAACTCACAGCTAATAACAATTGTTTTGTTGAATTTCACCCAATTTGTTGTTTTTTGAAGGACAAGGAAACAAATAGGGTGGTGCTACCCAGAGTTCTTAAAGATGGATGGTATGAAATCAAGCTCCCTATTCAAGTCAGGAAGCAAGTCCAAAAGCCACAACAATGTTTAGTTTCTTCTGTCAAAAGATTTCCAGCAAGTTCTAGTTTGTCTTTGAATTCTAGCAATAGGATAAGCTTTGTTTCAAATGTTAATTCTCCAGTTTTTAATGTTTCGTTAGATATTTGGTATCAGAGATTGGGACACTCATCCAACAAAGTTGTTGCTTCTGTTTTAAATACTTGTAATCTAAAGATTGCTGAAATGAAAGAAAAAGTTTATGTGACTCGTGTCAATATGGAAAGTCACGTGCCTTGCCTTTTAAACTCTCAAGTTCATTCACTAATAAGCCTCCTGAACTTATTCATTGTGATCTTTGGGGACCCACTCCTGTAGTTTCTTCGGCTGGTTTTAGGTATTATATAAGTTTTGTTGACAATTTTACCAGATTTACTCATATTTTTCGTCTCAAACACAAAAGGAGAAACTTTATCGATCTTTATCCAATACAAAAAAAAAAAAAAAAATTGTAGAAAACAAGTTTGATCATAGGATCAAGTATGTTCAAAGTGATTGGGGATGAGAGTTTAGGTCATTTGTCACTTATCTTAAGCTGGAGTTGAGTTTAGACATCCATGACGTCATACTAGTGAGCAAAATGGTATAGTAGAGAGGAAGCATAGACATATTGTTGAGATGGGTCTTATTCTACTTGCTCAAGCATCAATGTCTTTAAGATTTTGGTGGGATGCCTTTCGGTGTGCTGTTTATTTGATTAACATACTTCCTACACCTGTTCTGCAAAATGTGTCACTGTGGGAGAAAGCCTTTGATAGGAAACCAGATTATTCTTTTTTAAAGGTGTTTGGAGTAGCTTGCTTTCCTCGTTTAAGACCTTATCAGTCACAAATTTCAATTTCATACCACAAAGTGTATTTTTTTGGGATATAGTGACTGTCACAAATGGAAATGCCTCAATTCAAGTGGAAGAATCTACATCTCAAGACGTGTGGTTTTAAACGAGAGTGAGTTTCTTTTTAAAGTTGGTTTTTTAAACACTTATATTTCCAAACAGCAAACAAATGAAACTGTCATTAAGTGGCTTAATTTCCTTTCTGTTAAGTCTACATCTCAATCTCCCAACATTGATACAAATGTGGTTCACACCAAATGAACAATCCTACAGAATCTGTAAATCAAGAATTGGAATCACCAGCAGCACCATTATCCTCTTTGTTGCCAAGTCCTGATGATACAATGAGTAGCCACAATCAGCCAAATGTTCCTTTTTATTCCTCCAGGTATGGATGATGTTATTTCTAAACCAACTACTGAAAATTTATCTATTGCTCCTTTAACATGTTCTTACTCACAGCCCTACTCATCCTATGCAAACAAGGTCCAAAAGTGGGATTTTTAAACCAAAAAAAATATACTTATGCTGCCACTAGTTTGACAGATCGAGGTTCAGCAAATTTGGAGCCTGTGAATGTTATCGAAGCCTTGAAAATTGAACATTGGAAGCTCGCCATGGATGCCCTGAGGAGGAATAACACTTGGTCTCTTGTACCCTATTCTTCCGAGTACGGTTTTTAAAGTTAAAGAAAATCCAGATGGAAGTGTTC